GATAAACAAAAACGAAATTTATTTATAACGCAATCTTCTGTTATCTGTTTTAAGTGGCTTATTCTACAATTATTTTCGTCCAGAGAACAGGACACAAAGATCTATTTATTTAAGGATTAAGAATATCCATAAAATAAATTGAACTCTACAAACACTGCTGTTATCTGGTGGATTTTAATATTCTTGTGTTCCATATGTAGTGTTACTCTGTTAATGTGTTACCTTGAGAAAGTCTCGAGTAAGGTTAGTAAGCATTTACTAGTTTAACGTTACCAAATTTTAACTGAGCTTTTACGTGCTTCGACACATTCGCTAAGTTTACGAAATAATCTTTGTTGAATTAAAACATTCAGATATTTGTAGTTAGATATCCAAAAAAAGAGAAAGGAAGTCATATCGATATGTCACAAATACCAAATTTATTTATTTACATCATTTGCTTTTTAGAACTTGAATAGTTTGATAAAAAGAAATGGTGTCCGAAGGAAAGTCGACTTGAAAATGTCTTTCTTAATGTTCCCAACTGTCAGTTTTCTTTGTCGGTTTTCTTTGATGCTGCACAGTACCCAGTTCCACCCTACCGGTGTGGAAGAAAGAAAAATGAAACGGTGTTGCATGTGGCTTCTGTAGTTCTGGATCGCTCTGTGCGTGCCGATACCATTAAGTGTCTGATTCGAAGATCGCCTTCCATAAAAGAGGATTAGATAGATGTGTTTATTTAATACTAGCAGTAGAGCCCGGCGTTGCCCGGGGATGTAACAGTAAGAGATAGATCAAGTATCGACCATCATAAAGACTGAAAAATAAAATTGACAAAGATTATTGTTTAAGGTTGACGGACACGCATGTTTTAATTATTTCTTTTTTTTTTTTTTACGAATTGGACAAACCCAAACTCAAACAAAAACATTGTTTTCAATTGTTATGAGTCTACCGATTGAATAGAATTTTATTATAAACAATTGTCTTGTAAATGGAATTTTTAAAGCATTCTGAATGTAAAAATAAAAAAAAATGTGTGCAAGACAATAAGAAACATTACCTGCCAAAAAAAAAAGTGAAGTTTTGTTGAAATCAGTTGAAATATGTAGGAAATCCGATCCCAAAGGAACACACACACACAAACAACCTGGGTTTTATAAGTATAACTCGATATGAGTTGTCTCCCTTTCATTCTTGTGATGCCTCTTAATCGTGATTTCAAATTGATTTCATGCAAAAACAATTGTGTTTTTCCCATTTTTGGCACTGTCAGAACCACCGCAAGGTAATTTTACGTAGTCCTGTGAAGTTTTGTTGAAATCGGTTGAAAAATGTAGGAAATCCGATCCAATATATAAACGTACAGACACACACACAACCTGGGTTTTATAATAAGTATGATACTTTTAAAGCTTTTCATTTGCTGAAAGTATTTTTTTTTATTTTGAATATTGAGTTTTCAGCCGCTAATAAATTTCTCAGACGGACTCTGTGTGTGTGTGTGTGTGTGTGTGTGTGTGTGTGTGTGTGTGTGTGTTTTTCCTAATTTCCAGTGCGTTACAAAACTTCTAAATGAAATACCTTTATTCAATAGTGTTGGAATTTAATTTGAGAACAATATTTTACAAGTTCACATTCTCGCTATTTTTTCTATCCTCACTCCAACCTCCCTTTTTACTTTCAAAACTGGCTCCCAAAGCTTTGATTCTTATCAGAGATAAGAATATATTTTCTGACCAACGAGAGAGCTGGAAAATATAAAAAGGAATTCCACCACCATTATTCTTTCCATGGTGCCATAAAGTCTGGGGGAAACCTCACAGCTTGTTCACTCCAACCTGAAAAGTGTAACTCAGAAATCCTAAGTCGCACTGGGATAGCCAAAGATGCTTTCCGAAAGCTAAGTAGAGTATTAAGAAACAGTAAAACTTCGTTAAAAACAAAGAGTACTGAACTGTTATGTGGTATCTGTCCTCCTATATGACAGTAAATGATGTACAATCTCCTCAAAAATGAAAAGACTGGAAACAACAGAAATGTGATTCTCCAGGAGGATGCTGAGGATACAATGGCCCGAATATGTGAGCAAAGACGAAGGTTTATAGAAAATAGAAACAAAAAGGAAACTTATACTTAACCTCGGGAAGAAACAGTTGAGGTTTCTAGGCTACATATTGAGAAAAGACGGCTTAGAAAATTTGATACTCACAGAACAGATAGAAGGCGAGAGGAAAACAACTCATAGCTTAATTAGTGAGCTTGAGTTAATGAATGACGGAACAGGGCTTTGGAGAAATAACAAAAAGACAAAAGAGCTAAAAAGGACAGGAGAACCATGATTGCGAGTGGAGGGGGGCGGCATGGCGCATGAAAAAGAAGTAGTGAAAAGGCTTCGACACTCGTAGATTTTCATCATCATTGTTTTCCCCATGAAATTCATCATGGGGAACTTGCGCTGCGCCCAAATAAGACAAAATTTATAAATTTTATTCTTCAAAGTTCTTTTCTTAAAAGAAAATATTCAGAATGGCGATTCTGCCATCACTTCCTGTCATGTATCCTTTTGCCAGACTAGACTAAGCTTTGTTAATCGATACACAAAACCGTTTTCTTAATTATTAGATAATTATTAGATACTTTTAATTTCAGTTGCTTTTTATCTCAACTCAGGTCGTCAATCTACGATCTTTATTGAACATCTCTGTTCGGAAACAAAAAAGCCTAATCGAATCCAATTCGCATGTCGTATTTCTCAGTAACGGCTTCTCTACTAGTTCAGCTGAAAGGGCTTTCAACCCTCACAGCTAAAACTCACCGCATCGCGTACATTGAGGCGAACTGCCCTCATTCCCTTCGCATTCCATTAATAAGATTAAGTTCCACTCGAACAGCTTCTTCCTACAAAACGTTTCTCTGAGGAATCGACTCCCAAGAGGATGATTTTCCGACCACTACAATCTTAATATATCCAAGTCTCGGGTTAATCGTTATCTCTCCCAAATATCCAAAGTGACTCTTACTTCTTACTATTCCTACTCACACAACAAATTCCTTCAGAAAATTTCTACCTTGAGTGGCTCTTGAGCTTTGTTTATTAAAAAAAAATGGGGAAATAAGTAAATAGAAAGAGGACAACTTGTCATTTTAAGCAGTAACAGCATAAATGCAGGCCAGACTCATCATAGTTGTAGAACTACACGGTTCACACTCCTCCCCTGCCTTTTTGAACCAGTAGAGGTTTATTCCTTTCTCCTTGTTAAAAACTGAGTTCCTGGTTCCTTCTAAATCCTAAATTCATCTGTATACTTCCAACGTCTCCGCCTAAACACTGAAATTTTATTTACTATAATTTTTTCCCAATAGGAGTAGATAGGTTTACCTATCGTCCGGTTCATACTCCTCCCTGGTCTTTTGAATAGGAGTAGAGGTCTATCCTTTGTTTCCTGTTTAAGATTGGGCTTCTGGTTGCTTCTAAAGTCTACTTCAATTGTGTACTTCCAACATCTCCGGCTAAACTCTAAAATTTCATTTGCTATATTTTTTCCTCACTAGAAATAGAAAGGTCATCTATCACCCGATTCTCACCCCTCCCCGGTCTTTTGAAGAGGAAACTAAGAAATAAATAGAAAAAAACTTAAATGAAAAGGACCTGTCTGTAAAGATTAAAGCAAGCAAGAAACAAACAAACATAAATAAGGGCGTCCGGTTGTAACGTTCAAAGCAAGCAAGAAAGAAATAAGGAAAAAAGAAAGAAAGAAAGAAAGAATCCAAAAGACTTAAATGAAAGGCAGCGATCTGTGAAGTTTAAAGCAAGCAAGAAACAAACAAATAAACAAAAATAAATGAATAAATAGACAAACTTAAATGTAAAATTTAAAGCAAGCAAACAAGAAACAAAACAAAATAAGGCGTCCGGTTTATAAAGTTTAAGCCTATAAACAAAGAAAGAAAAACAAACAGGCAAATAAACGGACAAACAAAATTAAATGAAATGGACCAGTGTGTAACGTTTAAAGCCAGCAAGAGAGAAAGAAATAAAGACAGAAAGAAACAATGAAATAAACAAATTAACTTAAATGAAAAGGACCGGTCTGCAAAGTTTAAAGCAAGAAACAAGCAAATAAAGGAAAAAAACAAGCAAACTTAAATGATTAGGACCAGTCTGTTAGGTTTAAAGCAAGCAAGCAAAAAAGAAAAAAAAAAGAAACAAACAAACAAGCAAACAAACAAAAATAAATAGAAGTGGTCGGTCTGTAACGCTTAAAACCAAGTAAGAAACAAAGAAAGAAAGAAAGAAACAAGCAAGCAAACAAACAAACTTAAATGAAATGAACGGTCTGTAAAGTTTAAAGCAAGCAAGCAAGAAACAAAGAATGTAAGAAACAAAGAAACAAAGAAACAAACAATTAAACAAACAAACTTAAATGAAATGAACGGTCTGTAAAGTTTAAAGCGAGCAAGAAATAAATAAAAAGAAAAAAAACAAACAAATAAAAACAAATAAATAAATAAACAAACAGACAAACAAATTTAAATGAAAGGGCTGATCTGTAAATCTTAAAGCAAGCAAAAAAGTAAGAAAGAAAGAAAGAAAGAAAGAAACACACAAATTTAATAAACGGACCGCCCTCTTAAGTTTAAAGAAAGAAAGAGAGAAAGAAAGAAAACTAGTTATATTAAAAACTAAAAAGTAACTAGTTATATTAAAAAAGAAGATAAAGTGACGACAAGAAAACAAACAAAAAAATGGAACATAGGAAAAAACAAACTTGGCCAAGAGAAGCGAATGAATCGCCTTTACAATTTAATTGATATTCCTGTAATCAGTTGTCAGAAGAGGTCAAGGTAAATGCAAGAAAAGACATTACGAAATAACCACGGAACTAAAACGGGGAATGAAGAAGACAGGAGGTTAATGCAGTCATAACAGAACCACAACAAAAGCTAACAACAATGACAACGATCGAGGTTAGAATAACGGCAAAAGACAAAAGGTTGCAATTGTGACACCAACTTTAATGGCGTCCAATAACATAGAAGTTATAATTGCTCTTATAGAGAGCGTTCGTTTACTTTACGTCGACAAACAATTGATATGTTTATCTTCCAAAAAAGAACCTTCCATTGTTTATAGTCCTCGTAAGACACTACACACACACACACACACATTATATATATATATATATATATATATATATATATATTGAATGTTTTAAGGCTAACAATTACGTAACCAGTACTACAAGTAGAAATCTATCAAAGGTGGAATGTGTGTGTGTGTGTGTGATTTGTAATATGACACTTTTTCTTTGAAAAGATTGTTTCGTAATGTATTATCAGTTGACATATTTACGAAGAAAATATTCAAATTTTTGGAGAAGAGTGACAAAGGATTATTTGTAAAACTTCTCATCGGGGTCGAAAGTTTTTCAACTGTGCTTCCAGACATCAACTGGACATATAAGATAATATGTTATTTCAACAGGATTAGTTTTACCTTATTTTTTTATTACATGAACCATTGTTAAGAATGATTTTTAATTTTTGACTAGTATTTACTTTCGCCTTTATTTTTATAAGATGAAACATTGTCGAACATTATTATTAATTTTTGACAAGCATTTACTTTAATCTTTAGTTTTATTAGATTAAGTTTAGGTACCACCATGAGATCGCTGGAAAATGAGCATAGCAGGATAATAACAGCCTTAAACTTGACGAAAACAAAATTTTATCGTTAAAATGTTTATATTTTTATTAAGAGGAAACAACAAAGTAATTTTTAATTATTTTTCAAACTTTTTCTGTCTTTATTAGAGCATTCTAACTTTTGATTGAAAAACATCGTTTCTCATCATCAACGAATGTCCTATTAAATAACATGGCAGATGTTTTGTTCATTTTTTTTAATGGCAGTCATTAATTTTGAAAATCTTACAAAAATAAAAATAATTTTCGGATTTTAATGAAACTTTCAAAAACTATTCGTAAATGATGGATTATAAATATGTTTATTTTTTTTAGTCATGGTAAAAAAATTTTTTATATTTATTACCACCCCCATAACTAATTTTATGAAAACTCTTGAAATTCAAATGTGATTAATTGGTTAAAAGTTTGAGGAAAGCAAATCATTTTTATTATTTTTAGTTGACACCCTTCTATCTTAAAATCAGCTCTGAATTGTAACATAAAAAACTCAATAAAACAAAGATATTATTTAATTTCAAAAGCTTTTAGTTGCTTTTACTTGTTTTTATGAATATGAATAATATTGTCTGAAAGCAAAAAAAAGTTTTCAATGAAAAATAAATTTTTACAATAATTATTTATTTCTTAAATTATTTTGGTACCTAGATTTAGTTCATTTTTTACTATTATTTACTTTTTCTTTATATTTTATTAGATGAAGGATTGTCGAACATTATTATTAATTTTTAATTAGTATTTACTTTCATCTTCATTTTCTGTTAGATGAAACAATGGCTACCATTATTTTTTATTTTATTAGTATTTATTTTCTTCTTAATTTTTAGCTCTTTTTATTGTCATTTTAATCAGGCTACAACAGTGATTAGACAGCGCAGGATTTGAAATAAGTGAATAATAATAATAAATCTGTGAGATTCGAACCATGTCCATTTTGCCTCAGGAAAACCTGATACATCCACCCGCTGTCGTAACTACTAAGCTATGTGAACTTGACCGTTTGACAACTGCTCAAATCTAACCTATAACACATCACTTCATACTAGGATCATTATGAGTGCCATATTGTTTTTTTTTATTATTTTGAAACAGCTAGTATCAGTAGCAGCCATTTTTTTTGTTTATAATAGGATGAAGCATTGTCAGCCATGATTATCAAATTTCTGGCTAGTATTTTACTTTTATAGATTGGTTGATTAAGAGTATCACGTCGCTAAACTGATAAACTAAATGAGCAAATTTTTCAGCTGTTGAGTTAATGATGCCATTATCATTTTTGTGGCTCGTAAAAAAATGTTTCAAGCTCTCACTATTATATATATATATATATATGTGTGTGTGTGTGTGTGTACGCAAGATGTTGACAGCTAGCTCGATCTTTGCCAAGATATTCGGCATTTTACTAAAACCTATTCAAATAACTCACACCTCTCTCTCTCTCCCTCTCTCTCTCTGTCGCTCTCTCTCTCTCTCTCTCTCTATCTCAGTGTAGCATACGAGTTAGCATGCTGAACCCGCAAGCCGTGGAGAGTTAGTTATATCTTTGCCAAGATACCAAAACATTAAACTCAATTAACCCATTTTCAAGAAATCTATCTAGATGCGTTTATTATCAATATATCTGTCTATGTCTATTCATTATCTATCTATCTATCTATGTCTGTTCTTTACTTATCTCAGTTTGTTCATTATTCTATCTATGTATGTTCATTATCTATCTATCTATGTCTGTTCTTTACCTATCTCAATTTGTTCATTATTCTATCTATCTATCTATGTCTGTTCTTTACCTATCTCAGTTTGTTCATTATTCTATCTATCTATCTATGTCTGTTCTTTACCTATCTCAGTTTGTTCATTATTCTATCTATCTATCTATGTCTGTTCTTTACCTATCTCAGTTTGTTCATTATTCTATCTATCTATCTATGTCTGTTCTTTACCTATCTCAGTTTGTTCATTATTCTATCTATCTATCTATGTCTGTTCTTTACCTATCTCAGTTTGTTCATTATTCTATCTATCTATCTATGTCTGTTCTTTACCTATCTCAGTTTGTTCATTATTCTATCTATCTATCTATGTCTGTTCTTTACCTATCTCAGTTTGTTCATTATTCTAACTATGTATGTTCATTATCTATCTATCTATCTATCTATCTATCTATGTCTGTTCTTTACCTATCTCAGTTTGTTCATTATTCTATCTATCTATCTATGTCTGTTCTTTACCTATCTCAGTTTGTTCATTATTCTATCTATCTATCTATGTCTGTTCTTTACCTATCTCAGTTTGTTCATTATTCTATCTATCTATCTATCTCTGTTCTTTACCTATCTCAGTTTGTTCATTATTCTATCTATGTATGTTCATTATCTATCTATCTATCTATCTATCTATGTCTGTTCTTTACCTATCTCAGTTTGTTCATTATTCTATCTATCTATCTATGTCTGTTCTTTACCTATCTCAGTTTGTTCATTATTCTATCTATCTATCTATGTCTGTTCTTTACCTATCTCAGTTTGTTCATTATTCTATCTATCTATCTATCTCTGTTCTTTACCTATCTCAGTTTGTTCATTATTCTATCTAAGTCGAAATAAGGGTTCAGTTCGACATTCCAACCGCCTGAAGAAGACCGGAGCGTACAACGGCCGAAACGTTGTAATAAATATGGCGACAAAAATGAGGACAATAGTCCGAATAATGTAAACAGTGTACATAATACCTCATCTTAGAAATATAGACAGATAATGAAGAAGGCCGAAGCGTACAACGGCCGAAACGTTGTAATAAATATGGCGACAAAGATGAGGACAATATTCCAAATAATTTAAATAGTGTACTCAACCAAATACCAAACTCTTGGTTTCGTCCCTCTCTCAGATGGAATTCTTTCGAGTGACAAAGAAACGATTTTTTTTAAGCAAGAAGAAGAGCCACATTTTTGTTTGCTTTTTTCCTTTTACTGGAATGTTTCGATTTGCTCTGTTACATTTGTACGTCGCTCTTAAACTCAACACTTCTGATTCCCCTTCTCACTAGCACCACGCGGATCATGGTGTTCATCACGTACCGTAACAGAAGAAGAGATTTAAGGTTGTAAGAATTCTCGTGGAATAAAATCAGTATAGCTTAATTTATGTCTGTAAAAAGAAAGAAAGCACTTCAAGAACGTCAGTAGTTTGGATACTGAGTGAGAAGAAAAAGCCATAAAAACAATTAGATTTGATTGCTGAAAGGAAAGGTCATAGCAAGGTGTATTTCCCACACACGCATGCACACACACACACATGCATATATATATATATATGTGTGTGTGTGTGTGTGTGTGTGTGTGTGTGTGTGTGTGTATACTTGAGTTTCATGACCACGCCATCTTGAAGACATCGGAGGATCGCGTGAGCGTGAAACTCGGGTTACGACGAGAGCACTCCTTTTATATGATTTACCATTGGTACGCGGTTTTTGCTCGGTCTAGGCTTCAAGCACTTTTACTATGTAGGTGAATTTGTTTACATATATATATATACATATATAGTACGAGGCAAAAAATGGACGCACCCATAGAAAGTCGATTTTTGTATTTTTACAAAGACAAGTGAGTTATAGAATTCGTTTATTAATACTCTGTATTAATACAGGTTCACATATGTACATTATACAAGTCAAGAATGATTTAGTATTTTGTTCGGTAACCTTTTACTTGAATACCGGCTTTAATTCTTCGTGCCATGCTATAGTCGAAATTCTTTAGTAAGTCAACGTTCTTCGCAATATTTATCCTCGACCATTTATATATATGGCTCAGTGGTGCATTGAGGGTAATCTATCTCTGGGGGTTATATATATATATATATATATATGAAAAAGCTAACCTATAATTCTAGCCCTTGACAACGTCATGTGCCAGAAATTCATAGTTAGGCCCACTACAGACTTAGGGAAGGTCTAACTTTAGCAGTGACTGATAGATAGATAGATAGATAGATAGATAGATAGATAGATAGTGTAGACATGAGAATCAACACTGTATGATGACTGATCTTTACGCGATCAACAAGCCATCTGAATTGTGAAACTAACAGCTACCATGCAGTGTTGATTCCTCTGTCTATATAGTGATTTTCTAAGCCCAGCTTAGATGTGGCACAAGGTCGAAAGTATGGGGCACCCAGCGAGGATCGAACTCACTACTCAGTTGTAATTGATCTAGTAAGACAAGCTTTCTAGCCATTACACCACGTCGACGTGCCCCCACCTAGTCTATATATACAAATTCAATATTGAGCACTCGTCTCATAAAAATATAGGAAATTTCAAACTATATATATATGTGTGTGTGTGTGTGTGTGTGTGTGTGGTTATATGAAAAATGGAGTGTTAATTTGAAACTAAAAGAGGGCTGAAAAGGAGTTTTATAAATAAATATTTATATATATAAGGTTAGGTTCCGATTTGAAAATACTCTTCCAAAGATAAATTACATTTAAAAATAAAATATATTTAATAAATTAAAAATAAGTCCTATTTAGATAATTTATATTTAATTTAAGTAAGAATATATTTTTTAAAAATTATATTCAATTTTATACACGCTTTCAATACATTACTGACGAGGGAGATTTTTTCCAGCAGTAGGTTGCCATTTCTTTCTGCGGTAGATTGGTTGCCAACCAAGGCTAAAAAATAATATTTCCTGCTATTCAACCCATAGCTGGATTCATACCTTTCCCAAAGTATTTGTGCGTAAGTGAATCCAACGATCTCGACTGGAATTCGAACTCGGCTCTCCGAATTCTCACTCCAAGCCGATATCCATTACACCACAACGTACATCCATTCAACGCACATACATTATTTACACTATTTATATTCGGACTATTGTCCTCATCTTTGTTGTTTTTATCATAGCGTAAAACCTGAGCAGTAAAAATACGAATTAGACGATATTACTAGACATAACAGTGGAATGAGAACAGTCTACCCACGTAGATTTAATAAAGGGTTCAATTCAAAATTCTTTGTAGGTTACCCAGATCGATATACATCTGAGAAAGGCCGGAAGGCACAACGGTTGAAACGTTATGATAACAAAGATGGGGACAATAGACCGAATCTAAATTGTGTACATTGTGAGTAGCTGATTCAAACATATCTGGTCTCATGGCAATAGTGCGTTCAATCCCTGGGTCTGGCAGTGCTGAAAAATCCTATAACCTGGTTCAGTGTCAGAAACGAACAACTTACACAAATGCGAATGAAACTGATAAGTATTAATTGATACGAAAAAAAAAACAGTCATCTTGGATTGAATAAAAAGAAATTCAGAAAATTTACCCAGTACCAAGACAGATGCTGAACTTGTCCGAAGAGCAAAGCATATATATATATATCAATATATATATATATATATATATACTGGTACTCGTTTGGAAAAACCTTACCTATTTTGGCTTGTAATTGAACAAACCAATACTCAAGGAAAAATGAGAGAACTAAGAACATAAAATTGAGGCGAAAACAATCGTCCAGAATTCAAGCTCAGAGTCCAAAGAAAAAAACCTCCAAAACAAGTAAAAGTAACTACGTAAAGTGCTCAATACACTAAGTAGAGCAAACCTAATATAAACCTAAAGAGCCAGGTAAACCTACCTAGGTTTCACCTATACGATCCTACACTCTTTAGGTTTATATTATATATATATAATTCTGTGCCTTCCGTTAGTCCGTTGGTCCGTTACGCTCAATTAAACATCCATTGACCGGTCGAAACCAAATTTTTTTATTTAACATACTAAATACTCCCACTATTTTAAAAAACAATTTAATGATTAAAATAACAAATAATTATTAAATAAAAATGCTTCATTTGCGAGAACTATAAACACACCACAAGACCAAACATTTCAAAAAGTTTGAATTTGGATCCAGAAAGAAATATTTACGCATGGCCAGTCATATGTTGCATGCTCAAGAGTAAGAAATCCTAAGAATTTATTCTTCGCTGTTAAAAAGGAAAAAAGAAATTTTCTTAAAAAGTATTGTTTACTGTTGCAGGCCGTTTGTACATATTGTGAGACAAACACACGCGTCTCCTGAAATAGCCCACTACAAACATGGGGGACTTTCTGAGTATGAGCCCGCCAACAGAAATGTAAAATGAAATGTGTGAAAACGACAAAGACCGGTATATATACGTACAAACAGGTATATGTGTATTGACATACAATAAGGGTTACAATTGACAAAGACGATAATTAGTGTGTATGAATGAACATAGAAAGTTAGTGGTTAATGTGAATGTTCGTACGTACGTGTGCGTGTATAATGTTCATGTGTGTTTCCCGAAGGAAACGCGTAGCGCCCTCCCAAAGGGTAAGACGTAAATCTTCACTAGAGATTTACATCGTGTCGTATCAGCTCAAAATGAGAAGAAAAGAGGACAAAACGCGGTCTCGCCAAGTATATATAGTCAATTGAGAGCGTCCCCAAGTAGCGGTTTCGAAATTAGGAAATTAAGGAGGAGATAACTCCGACATTTATCATGAAGTTCCATAAAATTAAATCAAATTAAGGAAATTATCAAACCGTAAAGTAAGGTTTTTGTCAAAGTATTTTTCCAAATAAATCAGTTAATTCAAAATCTTGACAAAACTGTTAGCTTCAACAATCATAAATACACAGAGGATTTCAACATGCGTCATCGGTTTGCAAAAAAAAAAAAAAAAAAAATTGTATAATAAATTACTAACAGTTCTGTTTTTACCAGAGTAACGGCAATATTTACTTGCAAAATATTTTTCTAGAACTTTGAATGTAAACAAAAACAAAAAAAAACGCGTAAGAAAAAATAATTATGTCCGTTTTGACATCTATATTATTGGTAGAAGGTTCCCCTCAGACGGTTTTCATCAGCACGTATGGCAGCCATCCAATCACCAACAATCTCGTTTAAAAGCAGCGTCCCCATTTCAATATAATCTTTGATTTGTTTTAACAGCTGTAAGAAAATGTTTTAATGTTATTTTAATTAAAAAAAAAAAAACCAATGCAATGTCTTTGCCAGTTTAGTTGACCAACATGATTTTTTTTTAAATATTATAAATCACCAAGAGTTCAAAATGTTTATTGATAAGGCGTAATTAATAAAATTACCAATCAAAATTGAAATTAATGTTGTTCCTTTTTTTTTTATTCCCCATCATTTCTACCCACCCACAAGCTATGGATTGAAAGGCTGGACAAACTGGGTAGCCTTGGTTAGTAACCAGTCTGTCGCAGAAAGAAATGGCAACCTTCTGCGGGAAAATCTTCTGCCGCGTGAGTCACGATTCGAAAGAGACATGATCGGTCAAACGTGTATCGTGTATGGCAATTATTAACTGAGTGACTTACCAAAACGGGTAATGACATCTGTCAGAACTTATCAAACACTTCTGTTTTAAAAAAAAAAGACATAAAATCGAGGAAACATATTAAACATAACAAATTTTAAAAGGATGGTCTTCATACGCTGCCATGTATTTTAAACATAATTCATTAAACAGGCGCCAGGTTTTAGTCAAGTTGTTACTGAAGTTGTCTCCCTTGGTTTACAATA